TGCCATACAGTCCTCCAACGAAAGCTTTCTTTCCGTGCCGTATCTATCTTACTGTTCCACCAATCATATCCTCCTCCCCCTTTCTTCGAGTTCCTGACACCCAAACATTCGTAACCCGCACGCAAAACCACATTCGTAAAATCCCTCGCTAGTTGGGGGGGAGGTTTACACACATTCAGATTTCCCATTCTTGAGTTGATTCCCGCGCGGAACCGGTCCCAGCATACCCCGGACTCCCTAAATCTGGTCGGCGCGATACAGATCGGCTGATTGCCGCTTACCGTGCGAGTGTCATTTCCCACCAGAAATGTCAAGAGACGATGGTCACTGCTTGACATTTCCACATGCACTTGCCATTCATGGACTTTGCAGCTCCTAGTCGACACCGTAAGGTCAATGTTTGAGTTCCCGTTTGGGCCGCAGAAGGTGAATGGTTGGCCGGCTTCGTTTCTTATTAAAAGATCATGGCCATTGATGAAGTCTTCTATTCTTCTTCTCCTCACCTCGGCTACATGGCCCCTGCCAATGTAGTGGCGTGGGAGACTGTGCCACAGGGGCGAGTGGGCGTTCGCGTCCGCTCCGATCACAACCAGGCGGCCACGCATCCTTATTAGCACCCTTTCCAGCACCTCTAGGTACGGATCTACGCTGTCCATATACTGAAAGTATACTGAGGCGAACACGACCTCTTGCCCACCCGCCTTCCTGACTGAGGCTACCATACAGTGGCTGGTGCAAAGGTGGTCAAGCACTGCCACCGCCACGGAGTTGTTCCCCACAAATATCCCCGCCTTGGGGCATTCCCCAGATTGGAGAATGCGCAACTCAGGCGCATGACGGTATTGCTCCTGGATCAGCACCAGGTCCAGTGACATCTCCTGGACCAAAGACGGGAGCTCCTTGGTCGCAACCTCTGATCCGCCAAGGTTCACCTGACCCACTTTAATGAAGCTAGTGAATTTTATAGTTGGTGGCAGCCATAGTGCGTTTCTCCGCGTGCAGTCGAGCGGGGCAGTCACGTGAGGCTGTCATGTGCCCAGCGGCAGGTTTGCCGAACCGCTTGCAGGTCGCACAGCAGGAACTGGGCTCCTTGCACTCGTCCTTGCGGTGTCCAGAGCCTCCGCACTTACCGCAAATGGTCTCCGAAGACTTGCAATATTTTTCAGGGTGCCCAAAGATTTGGCACTTGTTGCAACAGGTGACCGAGATGAAATCACACACCTCGACCACCTGCCACCCAACGTACACCCGACCCTTTTCCAATATCGCCTGCCTAAATGTGGCCGAACATTCTAACACCGCGGTAGTGGTTCCTCTGAACCCTCTCCTCCGAAAGACTTTACACTCTGCCTGGATGCGCGCCACCGTCCAGCTGCTTCCCTTGAAGTTCTTTTCATACAGAGCCGCCAGGATGTCAGTAGACTCCAAGTCCCCATCCAGGTTCCTAAGGCAAACTTGCGGGGACCTTGATTTGGGAACCTCCACACGCAGGGTCGAGGGTGCAGCACACTTCAATTTTTCGGCGCCTTCTGCGGTGGTTGTCTGGACTATCACCCCCGCGTTCCCCACCTTACGCAAGCGCTCCACCTGCACCTCCATCGCTACAGGCTTGATGGCCTTTTTTAATACCGCCTTGGTGTCCTCCGCCGTTCTTATTTTGTCACTTTGCTCCTGTGCTGGGTAAAAGGCAATGACAGGACCATTTCCGGAGGGCATTGGGGTAGGTTCACCTCCCCTGGACAGCTTCAGGGCCGTGGCGTAAGAGATGCCCGGTGCGGCCTTGTCCTTGGCAGTTAACTCACTACGCAACGCCCGGTTTTCGGCCTTTGCGACCCTTAAATTTGCCTCCGCCAGTTCCAACTCGGCGTCACTGAGTCGCAGATTGAGGGCAGCCACAACCGCCAGCACCTCCCTTACGCACGCTCCCACCGCATTCGTGTCACTTTTATTAAGCTTTGAGCCCGGACCGGTGACAGTAGACGTTATGTGCTCCAAATTGTCTCGCACTCGATCCAGCAACTCGAGTTTGGAGCTCTTGGCCAGGGTTCGCTCCCTATCCATGACAAGACACTATGGACAGTGGGAGTCTCGTAAATTCAGTCATGAACGTTACAAATAAAATCACAAAGCATTTAGTTATTTCAAAAAGTTATTAAATCATTGCGCCAGATTGTTGCGGCGCCATCTATCGGCGCCATTCAGAAACGTGCTGACGTGGACGGGGAACCATCACCAGCAGCCAACGAGCGACGAGCCGCCTCCCTTCCATACAATTACTATTGTTATAAGATTTGCTATGCTTTGCTTATATAACGAAAAGTCCAGAACTCACTAGCAATTCAAATTTCTTACGGGTCACTCTTATTAAAATCGTACTAAGCTAATTAATTGTAAACGCAGTAAATGCGTACAAAATTAAAATCGACATTAATTATTTAACCACGTGGACTATCCAACATATTTGGTCCTTCGAGCCGAATCTACGTCAAGGATCAGCAAGCACAGTCAAGCAAGTCGTTCCTTTTTTTCTCCATCCATACCGTTATTTGTGCTAAAATCGTGTTATTGTACAATTTCAGTTCCCAACAGGGTCAAAGTCCGTCATCTGTACCCAGCTAATTTCACTTCGCTGGTGATAATGTGAGTATTTCTTTGTTTCCTTTTAGACCATTAAAATGAGTGAGGATAATTATAGTGAAGCAGTGAATTCTATGAATTTAAGGTTAAATTAAGTATTAAAAAAAGTAAGGTTCAATTAAGGGAAGGTTGACATTATTTGAAAAGTACGTTAGTAAATTTGAAAATGTTACGTTGTCCGAAAGGCTACAGCCCGAATTTCTTTTACGTATTGAATCAGTTGCGGGTTTACTCAAGTATTTCAATATAATTCAAGATAAAATTGAAAAATTTTTAGATGAATCGGAAATACAAAAGCAACTTGAATATAGGGAATTGTTTGAAGATCAATACTTTTCTATAATGTCTATTGCAAAGTGTTTAACCGACGAAGGTCAAGTTAAGGTCGAAGGTGACAGTGCTCAGTATTCACGAACGCCACATTCTCTTTCTATTAAACTACCCGAAATTAAGCTTCCCTCATTCGACGGCTCATATGACCACTGGCTCGAGTATAAAAATTCGTATTTATCCATGATCCACAAGCGAAGCGATTTAGACGCTATCCAGAAATTTCACTACTTGAAAGCTTCGCTTAGTGGATCAGCCCTTCAAGTCATCAATGCGTTGGAATTTACAGCCGCTAATTATACTCACGCATGGGAATTATTAGATAATAGATACCATAATAATCGATTATTAATTCACAATCATGTTAAGTCTTTGTTTACTGCACAGGCAATTATCAAGGAATCACCGTTGCATATTCGGAAATCAATTGATACTGTGTTACGTAACTTAAGAGCTCTAAAATCATTAGACGAGCCCACGGACCAATGGGATACCCTTATTATATATATTTTAGTGTCAAAAGTAGATTCTGCCACGGAACGCGAATGGGAGAATTGTAAAGGCTCTATTTCTAGTGATTTGCAAAACGGAAAAATTAAACTTGAAGAATTGTTAACTTTCTTACGAAACCGTGCTGATATGCTAGACATGATTAAAAGCAACAGTTCAAAGCACACTCAAATTAATAAATGTTACAATAATTTAGACGATAACAGACATTCCAAAACCGCGCACGTGCATAAGTTTCATAGTTTTGTGACCACGCGTATAAATGGCCAACCCGAAAAATTGCCACGACTTTGTGTAATGTGTAGCGGTAATCATGCATTATACGCTTGTATTCATTTTCTCAATCTATCAGTTATAGATAGAATATTATCCTTTAAACGAGCAATTCTTGTATATATATATATATATATATATGTATATATATAATGGGAATCTTGGAAACGGCTCCAGCGATTTTCATGAAATTTAGTATGTGCGTAGATTCGGGGGCGAAAAATCGATCTAGCTAGGTTTCACTTTTAGAAAATGTCATTTTATCTCTGTTTCCTGGGAATGAAAAATATAATTCGAATATGACGGTAAATTTCGCCGCAAGAGAAAATGTCATAATAGCTCGGTCGGTAATCGGGCGGCCCCAAAACAGACGGCCGTGGTTCGCGTCACGATCATTTTTTTTACTTATTTTTCGATTCCAGATCATTGCTTTTTTATTTTTAATCTTTTGTTCATTTGTTGATTTGTTATTTTTTTCCCCTTTTTTAAAAGTTCTTTCTTTTGTGAAAAACATCAGTTCATATTTTCTTATTATTACGTCGGTAAGATCGAAAAATATTATGCATATTTCATTACTCAGTAATTTGTATCTCAATGTAATTTTCAAAATACACGATTTACCAAAAAAAACAAACCGTGCAAAGCTCGGTCCTCCGGGTACTTAAATTAATCGATGAAAAACACCTGTGCCGCAATTGTTTACGCGCAGGGCATCCAATTTCGGAGTGCTTGTTCGGCCCGTGCAAGCAGTGCCAGAAAAAACACAATAGCTTATTACACCACGATAGCTACGATAATACTTCAAAACCGAGTTCATCAGCGGCAAGTGCGCATTATTTGCACACAGTCAGCTGACAAGAAAACGGTTTCAGTCGTATCATGTGCATTTAATTCCACAACTAATGCGAAAATTTTATTTCGAAAAAATGAATCTTCGTTACAGTTACTTAAAATAAAAAAATCAACAAAAATTGAATGGTAAATTAAAAAAAAATACCTACAAAAAGAAAATCACCAAAAAATATAACAAAGAAAAATGTAGGGATTTGAACCCAATCCCTATAGAATGATGGTCCTTTACACAGTGTTACCAACTGTTCAAAAATAATACTCCTAAAACAATTCGAAAACCGACTAAAATTTATTAAATTCAAACAAAAATTTCTAAATTTAAAATCGGGATTTTTTTTATATTATAGGAAAAGGCAAAATAATTATCTGATAAAATAAACCATGGTCAAGAACATCAAATATAACATAATTCATTTGAAATGAATATGTTAAGAATAAAATCAAAACAATATAAAAAAAAATTATTAGAATACATAAAATATTCATACCAGACACATAGGCCTGGGCCTGACGTCATCCAAAGCAGCACGGCACTGATTTTTTTTTTAAATAAGTTGTTTTGTGTAGTTTTTTTAAAAAAATATTCCCATAAAAATTTACCTCCCAATAAACTTCCATTCCACATTTTTTATTCCTAAATTTCGGAAGAAAATTCCTAAGTTGTCATCCCTGCCTTTACACTATATAGGAATGATAAACTTATCAATGACAAGATAAGATATTGAAATTACGCTTTAGTTGTTAATAATCATACAAATAATTAAAAATACGAAATATGTGAATATATATTTTTTAGTTTCATGTTTTCGAAAGATCTAATAAAATTATAACCCTCAGTAATAAATTAATACGGAACATATTTCGTAACGGTGAGCGGAAGACGAGCGGCATAGGTAGGTCCATCTAGCAAGGCGCCTCAGCGCTCTCTGTTCAACGTGTGGAGTTGGAAGAGAGCCGAAACAACGCCGCGGTGACGCGGTGTTTTGGCCATCGCGTTCGAATTAATTTTAATGAATTAAATTAATATTTAGAAATATCTAACATCAATCAACAAATTAAAACAACAATCCTTTTTATTAATATATTCTACACCACTGATATTAATTTCATTAAGATTTGTTGATGTATTACGTTCATTTTTGGTTTTGAATTTCTCTTTTAGAGGTAGTTTCATGATTTTTTTTTTCTATCGAGAAAATATATCGAGAATATGTTTTGGAAACAATGTTCCCTTAGAATGTACGATCAAGATTAACATATATTTTTTTTTGCTGCTATGAAATGTGTAGATTTTGCTAAAAAATCTTTTGAAAAACCTATTTTTACTGCATACAGCGCCTTAAACGGTCAACTTTAAAGTCAAAACGATTACTCGGTTTAAATGTTTTTCTGGATGACAATAAGTTAATACATGTTGGTGGCAGACTTAATAATTCGCCTCATTTTGATAGAAATATAAAACACCCACTGCTATTGTGTAGTAAACATAGATTCACAATATAATTATTCAGATATGAACATTTACAATTACTGCACGGTGGGCCTCAAGTTTTGCTAGCTCACATACGCGAGGCATGGTGGCCTCTTGGAGGAAAAAATTTAGTTCGAAAAATCATACTTAATTGCGTTAAAGGTAAGACTTTGCAACCTCTTATGGGCAGCCTACCAGCTGAACGACTGGAACCCGGATTTCCTTTCATGCGCTGTGGAGTGGACTATGCCGGGCCAGTGATGATTTTGAATCGTAAAGGAAGAGGAGCTAGCCTTATTAAAGGATACATTTAATTTTGTTTGTTTATCTGTCTGTGTGCTCGTTCAATTTATTTAGAGCTAGTCACAAGTCTCTCTACGAATGATTATATACTAGCATTAAAGCTATTTATATCTCGCCGTGGTAAACCAATTGAAATTATGTCAGACAACGCTAAAAATTTTGTAGGGGCTGAGAAAGAATTCGTTTCGTCACTTGAAGGTCAGAGTCAGGATATCATTGATTTTGCATCAAATACAAATATTAAATTCAGTTTCATACCTCCTTACTCTACTCATTTTGGTGGTCTGTGGGAAGCAGGAATTAAGTCCTCTAAGTATCTCCTACGACGTGTTATAGGGTGCGCTAATCTCACATACGAAGAGTTCAGCACGGTTTTGGCACAAATTGAAGCCATCCTGAACTCCCGTCCCTTAACAGCTCTGTCCACAGATCCTAATGACCTGCAACCTCTCACACCCGCTCATTTCCTCATCGGCCGGCCGCTGACTGCTCCAGCCTGCGTGGATCTGACCACCACGCCGAGGCACCGCCTTGTTCGCTACGACATAATCGAACAGATGAGGCAGAATTTATGGAAGCGATGGGCAAAGGAGTACATCTCAGAGTTGCAAATACGCACAAAATGGAAAATAAACCAGAGCGAGGTCGAACTTAATAGACTCGTTCTTATCAAGGATGATAATCTGCCTCCATTAAAATGGAAACTAGGTAGAATCATAAAAATCTACCCTGGAACCGATGGCATCTCACGGATGGCAGAACTTCTCACAACATCTGGTATTATAAGAAGATCCTTCTCTAAAATATGTCCTCTAACAGTTCCACAGACAACACAGGACCGTAATGCTGATGCGTTGGAACCTGATGCTTCCAAGGCCGGGGCCATGTTGCGGCGCCATCTATCGGCGCCATTCAGAAACGTGCTAACGTGGACGGGGAACCATCACCAGCACCCAACCACCGACGAGCCGACTCCCTTCCATACAATTACTATTGTTATAAAATTTGCTTTGTATAACGAAACGTCCAGAACTCACTAGCAATTCAAATTTCTTACGGGTCACTCTTCTTAAAATCGTACTAAGCTAATTAATTGTAAACGCAGTAAATACATACAAAATTAAAATCGACTTTAATTATTTAACCACGTGGTACTACCCAACACAGATCATTTTCAATATACATTATGTACCAAAAAAAGGTCCTTCAGGTACTTATATAAATATAAACATGAAAGAAAAAATTCTGCATAAAAATATATGTAATTCCAATTCTCAGCTGGTAATTAGGCGCCATATAGTCAGTTAGTCATCGAGACGGTCCTCTTCTCCGCATACACCCTGGCGGGACAGTCGCGTGACGCGGTATTATGCTAGTCCGACGGCTTGCCGAAGCGGTGGCAGGTAGCGCAACGGGACTAGCTTGATGGGCATTCCGGCTTCCGGTGCCTGGTCGCTCCGCACTTACCGCACACGGTCTCCTGTGACCTGCAGTACTTTTCAGGATGCCCATACTGTTGGCACTTGTTGCAGCAGGTTATGCCAATATGCTCGACTGGGGTCCAGTAACAATACCCATTATTGCCTGCATGTTGTTTCGCGCCATTTTGGAGCTTTTCTCCAACCCCGTGTCCAGTTCCTGACCATGCGTACCCTGTGTGTCCGGAATTGGTACTCCGCCAGAGGATGTCGCACCAATAGGGGGGGTGGGAGCCGGGGTAGTAGGACGGCACGTTCGCAGCTCCATTCTGGGTTTTTGCGGGTTCGTGCCAACTTCCTTCGGTGACTGCAGGGTCCGCTTTTCGCCTCCTGAGGTGCCGGCACGTGTCTTGGTGACCTCCACGTGACTGCGAGGAGGTGTAGGTCCGAGTCCTCGTCGGTTTCCATGGCGGCTGGCCCCAGCCAATTCAAGCCGGAGTTTCAGTACCCCGCTCGCTCTCAGCTAATTAGGAGGGTATGATTGCAAGTAGTAATGTGGGACCACCTACAGCCGCTGCCAGTACCCGCACCAGAGCGCCTATCAATCGATCTTGACACCTGTCATTTATTTCTTAGATTACCCACCACTAATTTGCAACGAGGGTATTCCTAAAGAAAGTTTTTATCAGCTACCCCCAAACGCTGAGGGTACGAAAAGTTTTACGCCTACCGGCACTGCCAGCCACGTACACGCACGTGCCTAACCTAACTTAAAGTAACACTTATTAACTTTTTTTATTAGTCTGTTCGCGTATCAAAATATGAAAAAGAAAATATATAGAAAATAAATAACAAGGGGTGATACTCCCTGCTATTCACACTCCAGTAGGTCCTGTCCTCCACGCACGGTCCAGAAAACACGTCCAATATATCACAGCACAGAATAGGTCCTGTCCTTTTACACAAAGAATACTGGATTGACTCCTGTCCCACACTACACTACACTAATTGAGATTATCCATAAAGTTATTACCACTACTAATAATAAAATAAAACTGCACAACTAATTTAGCAAAATGTAATGGAAATTTCCACACACAACTAGCTGCGGAGCTAACTTAAGCGCACTTCAGAGTCCGGCGGGCGAGTAGCGATATTTATGGACAACCCACCACCTCCCATGGCCCCACCAACCTCACGGTTATATGGGCCGAATCGTGGGAGGGTGCGCGTGGTCTAGCCGCGAGGCTCCGCGCGCACCTGCTTGACTCCCTACAAGTTCTTTATTCTCTTCCTTGTCCCTAAATGTCAACTCTCTCCCCAAGGGGGCTTGACAACACAATAATGTTTGACTCGTTGCCGGTCTCCATTCGGTCTTCTGTGGTTCTCCGACGATGCCATGCGTGCGCAAACCTCCTCAACGCAGCGAAGTTTGAGGCCGAGGAGATGAGGTCGCAGTAGTACGCCGGACCCGTCCCCGAGCAGGTCACGCCGTTCAAAAGCTCCATTCTAATATCCTCATAAAGCGGGCATAACCACAACACATGATGTCGATCTTCCACGCCAAGTCCACAGCTGCACATGTCTTCCATACTCAGCCGCATCTCGTGCAATCTTTTCCTGAAGGATCCATGACCGGTCAGGATCTGCGACGACGGGTAATTGGGATGTACCCAGGTAGCCCTAAGTCTATCCTTCACCTCCGGGAAGAACTGACGGAGTTCCCTTCCACGCAATTCAGATTTCTATCTCGCATCCCATTCATCAACCACCTCCAGTCTGATGGCCTTTTTTCGCCGGATCGACTCCGGCCTGGGCAAATTACGACATTCAACGTCACACCGCCGGGCCCGGATCACTTCGAGATCGGCCGGAAGTTCCCCCGCGAGGACTGCTAACGCTGGTGTACTGACCAAGCGGTAGGCCTTCGTCAGGAGAACCAGCGACCCACGTTGTGCCCGGAGCAAGGTTGAGCGAACCACATATAGTCTCGCACGCTCCCACCAGCACGCCGCCGTATAGGTAATCACGGAGACGAACGTTCCGGTGTACAGGGTTCGAAGCGCTGGATACCTTATACCCCAAGACGAGGTCGAAACACGCGACATTTTGCCAAAGCATTTGGCTGCCCTATCACTAATATGCCTGGCATGCTCATTTAAAGAAAGAGCCGTATCGATGCGGACACCAAGGATAATAGTTGAGGGCACAGTGCACACCGTGGAGCCGGCCATCTTAATGGTCGGAGCCCTCTGAAACCTGCCCTTTATGGTCAGGGTCTTCGACTTGTGCGGAGCAAAGTCCAGTCGGTTCCTGAATCCCCAATTCGAGATACTGAACAAGGTAGCTCGGCCCTAGAGTCCGCCTCCATAAGTACTGTGACATCATCCGCGTACGCTACAAGAGTGACACCATTCTCGAGTGGAAGTTCCAAAAGGTCGTCCATAAGTATATTCCACAAGGTAGGACCCAGGACCGAACCCTGCGGACACGCCATCGTGGATAACTTCCAGCTTACAAAGTCTCCCACAAAGAGACCAACGCGCCTACCAACAAAGTAGCTCGACAACATCCGATATACATTGGGGGGGCCTCCCTTCTTCACCTTTAAAAGGACCATGGGCCACCATGCGTTATCGAACGCTCCTGAAATATCCAGGCATATAGCCTGCACATATTTGCTACTAGAGTTCCTAGCTACCATCGCCGTTACCGTTGATCGACCCCTGCGGAAGCCATGCTGGCCCCCCGAGATGCGAGAGAACACCCCGGGAGCGCTCACAAGCATCATACGTTCTAACAGTTTACCCAAGACCGATAGGAGCGTAATTGGACGATACGCCTTGGGATCAGAGAGCGGTCTACCGTTATTCTTGGGCAGTGCAATGAGCCTGCCCACCTTCCATACGTCAGGAAACACACCTTCAATCACACACCTTGCATACACCAGATGGAATTCCGCAGCTGCCACAGTCCAAGTATGCTTCACAATGTGCGCAGTGACCCCGTCAACTCCCGGCGATGTGTTTGGGAGTCTGAGAATTATCCCTCCCAGCGCGTCGCGAGACGGAGGGGGCGCGTCACAGCCACCAGGAATAAAGGAGGCAGCAATACGAACCCGTCTGTGGAATATCTCATCCTTAGACACGTCGTCGTCCGGACAGAGAGCCCTCAGCAGGCCCCCCGCCGCCTCCTCCACACTCTCTGCACGGGCCCCGGCGTATTCTACACCGTTAACGACATTAGCAGGAGGATGGACTCTGCCGCTGGCAATCCGGTAAGCCTGACCCCAGAGGTCAGTATTGCCGCTGTCGGCCACACGCAGGAAGTGACTGTGCTGCTCCTCCTCCATCATGGCCCTATATCTCCTGCGAGCTGCACGAAAAGCGTTGCCTACCAAAACCTCTCGTTGCCCGCCTAGCCTTTTACACTTCTGCCATGATGATCTGAGTTTAAAGGTTTCCTTTCGTGCCGCTTCCAGTTTCTCGTTCCACCATTCATAACCTCCATCCATAAAGACATAAAGACATAAAGACATTTAATCCGACACTTCATCTGCACACATATTACATTTGATTACAATGTTTATAATTACAAAATAACAAATAAAAATAAAATAAAAATAAAATAAGCAAATAAATTAAATAACCTAAGAGTAATTACAAAAGGAAAAAATAATAATAAGTTAAAGTAAAACAAAGAATAAAAATAAAAGAAATTTATAAATAAGGATGTAGTGACGGAAAGGACCGACTCAGCATATGCCGCGCGATACTGCGGCGCTGATTTTCAGTCGGTCCAAGAGTCCGTAGGCAACGGACGTGCCACAGCAAGCGAGTAGTAATAATTTTATTTATTGCTTTATATGAGTCTAGTATATTAGTCTATAAAAAAAAATATTAAGTAAGCACACAATATACATATTTTTTGTTCTATTCGTGACATTGAAAGTAACCATAATAATGTTATAATTACAGTGTTTCTGAGTATAAAACTAATAAGTCCTACTTAAGTTTAGCAATACACCTATCTTATTTCAATAAGTTTACTTTTCTGTAAGTTATATCTTGGAGCTAGATCAAAAAATAAATCTACGTCAGATTGAAGAACTTGCATTGCATTCATTATACAGAGTCTTTGCATGAGATGTGAAGGAAAATGTGGTAAGCATAATACATATGCCATGAGCCATTATACGTAATACATGAGCCTAGGTACCAGGAATCCCTCCTTGGATTCCTGGTACCTAGGCTATCATACACTGTTCTGATGATGACATTCGTGAAATCTTCCGCAAGTTGGGATTGTTCACATTCAAATACCCCATACTAATGCTGATCCCCGCACGAAAACCGGCCCAGCTCACCCCACGCTCCCGAAACCTCGGCGGGTCCACAGTGGGTCGATGTTGCTCCCCTTCATAATTGTGCTGCTCGGTTATGCGGAACTTGAGCAGCCGGTGGTCACTGCTAGAAGCGCCGGTGCGGACTTGCCAGTCCAAAACAGCGGCTCCCCGGGATGTTAGGGTCAAGTCGATGTTGGACACACCATTGGGACCGCAAAAGGTGTACGGGTGGCCCTCACGGTTTCCGACAATCAGTCCTCTGCCATTAATGAAGTCCTCCATTTGAGCCCTTCGGTTTTCTGCTTCATGACCCCTACCGATGTAGTGGCGCGGGTGGCTGTACCACATTGGCGAGTGGGCGTACGCGTCCAAGCCGATAACTACACTCCTGCCTGCTAGGTGGTCTAATGCTCTTTCGACCTCCATGATATGCTGCCCGATAGGCTCAGCGTACTGGAAATAGGCTGAGATCAGCACAGTTTCTCTGCCATCCGCTAGATGCACCGACGCCACGGCACAGTGCCTCGTTCAGAGGTGAATGGCGGCCATAACCGCTATTCTTGAATTGGCGACATAGATACCCGCCTTAGGACTTCCTCCAAACTCCAGCACACACGGCGCCCCCGGGTACTGCTCCTGAATTAGAATAATGTCAAGGTGTTCCGGGCTCCGGGTTTGCGTCGAGGTTGCGGAGGCAAACCTGTGGTGGCTTAGTCTTAGGGACCTCCACCCGCAGAGAGGGGGTAGCCGCACTTTTCAATTTTTCTGCCCCCTCGACAGTCGTTGTTTGGACAACTACTCCCGCATTCCCTATCTTCTTTAAGCGCTCTACCTGCAGCTCGTGTCCCTGTTTCCCAGTGTCCCTGGTTTTATGGCCTTCTTTAGAGCGGCCTTTGTGTCATCGGTGGATTTTAAGGCCTGAGCGTGCTCCTCCGTCGGGTAAAAAGCCAGTATCGGGCCAGTTCGTGTTGGGAACGGGACAGCACTCCCTCCCTTAGGTAGCTTCAAAGCTGCTGCGTACGAAGAATTTTCCACCGGTTGATGGATGTGTCCACCATCAACCGCCATTTTAATTTCATTTCATCATTTTGCTGCCATTAGGTTGGCTTCCGCCACGTCGTGCTCAGCATCACTCAACCTGATGTTGAGGGCGGCCACAACCGCAAGCACCTCCCTGACGCATCCACCTACTGCGTTGATGTCCGTCTTGTTAAGTTTGGACTCCGGACTGGTGACGATGGACGTTATATTGTCCAAGCTATTCCGGACTATGTCCAATAATTCCAATTTGGAACAGTTAGCCATGGCCCGTTCTCTCGCGCTGGCACCGCTGCTCGTCTCCGAAGAGGGGGCCGCCAAGATGCCCGCTATCGGCGGCGCCACACTACCCCTAGGTGGAGCAGGTGCAGGTATTGCCGGGCGGCATTTGCGTACCTCCACCCTGGGTCTCTGTGGGACAGACCCGGACTCCTCTGGTGACGTCTCAAGTCCTGCGGCGGGATCCTTGCGAGAGACTTCCGCGGTGCGAAGGCAGAGCGCTCCGGCTCATCCTCGCTGTCCATCGTGCAGCCAAAAAGTCAAATATGTGGGTATATGCGATTATACAATCCCACAGCACTGCGGGTACCTACACCACAACGCCTGTCAGGTGGGTTTGACAACCGTCAGAGAAAACTCAAACTACCCACAACAAGAATGCAGAGGAGGGTATACCGAAAAATAGTTTTCAACAGCTACCCACAACACTGCGGGTACCCACACCAAAAAAAAAGTTCTACAACTACCGGCACTATCGCCACGTGCTCACACGTGCCTACTAACCTAAACTAACCTGTTCTGATCCTGCACCAATCTGGATAATATGTTCACGTATTGCAATAATAGTTAGTAAAACAAATAAAGGGGGATACTCCATAATACCGTAATATCGTCGGCATATGCGACTAGAGTGACACCGTCCTCGACTGGGAGCTCCAGCAGGTCATCCATTAGCATATTCCACAGGATAGGTCCGAGAACCGAGCCCTGCGGACAGCCCATTGTGGACACCTTCCAGCTGGGGGAGCTACCCACGAAGAGGCCGATCCGCCTTCCAATGAAATAGTCCGACAGCATTCAATACACATTTGGAGGACATCCACCCCTCTTTACCTTCAAAAGGACCATGGGCCACCAAGCGTTGTCAAAGGCACCAGATATGTCGAGGCATAGTGCATGTACATATTTCCGCTTGGAACACCTGACCACTTTCAGGATCGTTTGAATCGCCGTAACCGTAGAACGTACCCTGCGAAAGCCATGCTGGCCCTCCGAGATGCGCGTGAACACCCCGGAAGCACATTCAAGCATCACACGTTCAAGTAACTTACCCAGGACCGAGAGGAGGGTTATAGGACGGTACGCCTTTGGGTCAGAGAGTGGTTTCCCATTATTCTTAGACAAGGCAATAAGTCTGCCCTCCTTCCATACATCAGGGAATACTCCTTCTTCCACGCATCTTGCATATACCATGTGGAATTCCGCCGCAGCTGCGGACCAGGTTTCCTTCACCATACGCGCCGTGACCCCGTCAATTCCCGGGGAGGTGTTGGGGAGTCTTCGTACTAGGGCTCCCAGCGCGTCGCAAGATAGGGGGGGCGCATCGCAGCCACTAGGGATTATGGAGGCGGTGATACGAACCTGCCTGTGGTATGCCCCGTCCTTCGATGCATCATCGTCCGGACATAGGGCCCCCAGGAATCCCGCCGCCGCCACCTCCACACTCTCCGCACAGCTCCCGGCGTACTCGACGCCGTTGATGACATTGGCAGGAGGATGGAATCTACCGCTAGCAATCCGGTAGGCCTGACCCCAGGGGTCAGTATTGCCGCTTTCAGCCATGCGGAGGAAGTAACTGCTTTGCGCCTCCTCCATCAGGTTTCTGTATCTACGCCGGGCCGCACGAAATGCGTTGCCTGCTATCACCTCTCGCTTTTCCCCCGACCTTTTAGTTTTCTGGCATACAGTTCTCAAACGAAAGCTTTCTTTCCGTGCCATATCTATCTTACTGTTCCACCAATCATACCCTCCCCCCTTCTTCGAGTTCCTGACGCCCAAACATTCGTACCCCGCGCGCAAAACCACATTCGTAAAGTCCCTCGCGAGTTGGGGGGGGGGGGGTCTACGCACATTAAGATTTCCCATTCTTGAGTTGATTCCCGCACGAAACTGGTCCCAGCATACCCCGGAATCCCTTAATCTGGTCGGCGTGCTACAAGTCATCTGATTGCCACTTACAGAGCTAGAGTCATTAACCACCAAAATAGGTTAGAAGGCGATGGTCACTACTCGACGCTTCCTCATGAACACGCCACTCACGGACCTTGCAGCTTGAGCTCCCGTTTGGGCCGCAGAAGGTGAACGGTTGGCCAGCTTCGTTGCGTATTAAAAGGTCGTGGCCACTAATGAAGACTTCTATTGATCTTCTCCTCGCCTCTGCTTCATGGCCCTTACCCGTGTAGTGGCGTGGATGACTGCGCCTCAGGGGCGAGTGGGCATTCACGTCCGCTCCAATCACCACCAAGCGGCCGCGCATCCCCTTCCCAGCATCTCTAGGTAGGGCTCCACACTGTCCATATACTGGAAGTAGATTGAGGCGAACACGACCTCTTGCCCACCCACCTTCCTAACTGAGGCCACCATACAGTGGCTGGTGCATAGGTGGTCGAGCACCACCACCGCCACGTCGTCGTTCCCCACGAATATCCCCGCCTTGGGGCATTCCCCAGATTGGAGAATACACAGCTCGGGCGCATGTCCGTTCTGCTCCTGGATCAGCACCAGGTCCAGTGACATCTCTTGAACCAGTGACGGGAGCTCCTTGGTCGCAACCTCTGACCCGCCAAGGTTCACCTGACCCACCTTGATAAGGTTATTGAACTTTATAGTTTGTAGCGGCCATGGTACGCTTCTCCGCATGCAGTCGGGCGGGGCAGTCACGTGAGGCTGTCACGTGTCCAACGGCAGGTTTGCCGAACCGCTTACAGGTTGCACAGCAGGAACTGGCCTCCTTGCATTCGTCCTTGCGATGTCCAGTCCCTCCACACTTTCCGCAAATGTTTTCCGTGGACTTACAATATTTCTCTGGGTGCCCAAGGATATGGCACTTGTTGCAGCAGGTGACCGAGACACACACCTCAACCACCTGCCACACAATGTACACCCGACCCTTCTCTAGTATCGCCTGCCTGAATGTGCAGATCGGGCAGACTTTCTGGAAAATTTCCACAAACCGCTACAGAGCAGTCTTACGCACACATCCGTTCGCTTCGGCGTCCAGCGAGCGAGCGAGCGAGCGATTTTTATGGACAACCCACCACCTCCCATGGCCCCACCAACCTCGCGGTTATATGGGCCGAATCGTGGGAGAGTGCGCACAGTCTGGCCGCGAGGCTCCGCGCGCACCTGCTTGACTCCCTACAAGTTCTTTATTCTCGTCCTTGTCCCTAATTGTCAACTCTCCCCCCTAGAGTTTGTGTGTTGTTTTGTCGATGGCTCGTTGCCAGGCGCCTTTCCATCGGATATATTATTACGCCTGCGGTTCCAAGCATGCGCGAATCTGCATAACTCGCTGTAATTCTCCTTACTTGCTACTAGTTCGCAGTAATACACTGGACCGAAGCCCGTGCAGGCCACCCCATTCACCAACCTTTCCCTCAGATCCGCGTATAGCGGGCACATCCAGAGCACATGGTGTTGATCCTCCAGTCCTAGCCCACAT